ATCTCACCGTGGTCCCCCACGGGAACTTGAAAAATTTTTTTTTCAATTTTGTCGAAATTTTTTAGATTTATAGGTTATTCCTGATGCTTATTACGGATATCGTAGTCATTTTCAATTGCAATACTAGAGGAGTTTAAAACGTACCCGAACGCTGCGCTTTTTAAGTACCCCATTGCCAATCCGTTCCAGCTATTACAGGCTTCGAACCTAAAAGCTGACTTGACCAGAAGTAAAAACTTGTTTTTACGAACGATAATAACCTATAAACCTAAAGAATTTCGACAAAATTGAAAAAAAAATTTTCAAGTTCCCGTGGGGGACTACGGTGAGATATTTTTTTCGAAAAAATTTTTTTTCACATGCGCAAAGAATAATATAGTGAATTATGATCAGAATTTAATGCTGATTCTCATGACATAATTTTTTTTCCGATATATTGAAGAATGATAAATATCATTAATTTTTTTATTCTTTTCAACAGTTCCTTTTATAGATTAACAAAAATCACAGAAAATGTATGTTTTCAAAACTATTTTTCATATTTTCGAATTGAACCGCTAGTATGTTGTAGCCGTAGCATTTCTGAAGAGATTTGCCAGCAGAAGTTTAAGTGAATTTTGAAGTTTGTCTATGGCAAATGAACGAAATACTAAAAGATGGTTGATCTCCAGCTAAAATAGCTGGCGCGTTCGCTTTATGTACATTTTCTTGCTGGGCGTTCGCTTTATGTGTAATGCACATAAAGCGAACGGAAAGTTTTTTTTTATAAATGGAATAAAAAAATAAAATTAAGCTCGATTAAGCTGAACCGCTAGAGAATGATAGAGTTAAAGATGACGAATCGAATGATATAAATTTCATAAAATTTCATTGAAATCTGTGAACAGAAATAGATAAATATTGTACTCTTTTTATTTTCGCTTGTTTTTTGCTGGCGCGTTCGCTTTAAGGACATTTTCTTGCTGAACGTTCGCTTTAGGAACATCGCACATAAAGCGAACGTTTTTAATTTTTAATTTTCTACCGCTGATTACTCAACAATTTTTATAGCTACAAAATTTTTTTTTATATGAGCAGATGCAGAATTTTGTTTTCTTTCCCGTGATATAAAAATAATTATTTTATGACGAAAAATGATAGAGATATTACAGTCACAATGAAGACCTATGAAACGTCCGTTCGCTTTAAGCACATTGACTCTATCTCTAGACAGATCTGATATTCATTAAAGTAGTCAGGCAAGTTTCAATGAGAACAAGAAATTGAATATTTCGAAAAAGGTATGTTCATTTTCGTTGAAGTTTGTCGGACTATTTAATAACTATCCAAATCGATCTATAGACACAAAAACTTCAGACCAAAGGCTATGGATTCGAATCTTTTTTTTTTGTTTTGCTTCAATATGCTCTATCGAGTAAAGTAGAATACTTTAAGTACTTCTCTCGTTGGTGAGGCTTCTTCTTTTTTTTCAATGGAAATATAACAGATTCTTTTCTTTTACTGTGGAAAGAATAATTGTATTAATTCTCTTCGGATAAGACAAAAAATACGTCTTCAATATTGAAATTAAAATCCTAAGTAAGAAGAATAGTATCTATAAGTTGAATATGTAAAAAATCTCTATAAGAATTAAATATATCATTTGTAATTTTGCTTGATTCAAGATAATTTCGGATGTTAAGAATTGGAAAGTACAATGAATATATACGAATTCACAAAATTCTTCCAAGAAATATTCAAATCTTCGACGAATAAGGAAAAAAACATCTTTGTTCTTACTTTTACAGATGGATCTAATAAGGCGGCATTATCAATTAAATCTTTACTAATAGCAATAATTGTTGAACAATCAGGTCTTTCATTAATTAATAAACATTCAAGAATATTATATAAACCAACACGACATATTTCATCATCATATGGTTTATTAATACTATTATTTGTTGATTGACAAATCATAAGTGTTTGTATAAAATGATTTTGTATAAGCTAATAAGAAAACAAAACAAAAAAAGTATTTATTAATTTTATAATAAAATAATTTATTTTATCTTACATTATATTGATCTTTCGGCATATGATCCGAATAAATATTTAGCAGTTGTTGAGAACCTTAGAAATAATAAAAAAATAAATAAACATCAAAGTAAAAAAAAAAAAAATTTTTTTTTTTCTTTTTTTATATAAAAACTTAAACATACAATTAATTATAATTCGAGATAAATTATGATCTGGTCTTGATAAATATGCAATTGGTATTTTTGATCGTGTACGTACTGTTGAATCATTTATAATCCAACGAATTAATTTTTGTAATATATCAACATCAATTCGTACTTGTCGATGAAATAATGCTAATAAATTTGTTAATAATTGATAAATATTTATTGATAATGTTCTAAAAAAAAAATAAAATATTGACAAATTATAGAAAAACAAAAAAGAAGAAAATATTTACAAATATTCAGCTTGTGGACGTACAAGATCAAGTAATGAAATAAATAATGTAAATATTGATCGAATATTAAACATAAATGATGATGGATTACTAAATAAAATTAAAGCAAAGTGACAAAAAAAAAGAAAAGAAAAGAAATAATAACATACAAAGTAACAAGTGTATCACATAATTGAACGCAAGAACCAAGCAATGTTGGTAAATGTTGTTTACGATGAAGTGTATTCTAAATAAAATAATTACAATAAACTTAAATTTATTCTCGAATTAAAAATTTCGAGAATCAAATTAAAATTGATATCAATCGAAATATTTTGTCGAATATATTTTTTCAAGTTCTTGAAAAACAAAAATAACACATTTCTTTCTCTTAATTGATCTTATCAAGACTTCTATATTGGTTTCTATTTGATTTTTCATCGATATGTTGATTTATCAAGAGAAACAAGTTTTTTTTCAAAATACAGTGATGCTCAAAATTGATCATATAACTAACTAGGGGGAATGTGCAGTTTCAGTTTACTGACGCACCACTACAAAAAAGAGTATGTTTGATGGAGTTAGTGTTTCAATGTTGTAGCGAACGCTAATGATGTCGGTGACTCACTGTCAGTATTTACACTTACATTGTGCGCCCTTACACCTAACCAATCATCTTGTTTTTCTAATATATCAAGATAATTTCAAAAAATTGAGTTGCGGTTTTGGTCAAAATATAGCCATATTTTTATAGTTTATTAGTTCTATATGTTTTGTATTTACTCTACCGGATTCGAACTACTACAAATGGTATGTTGTAATTTCATTCAAAATTGATCATTACAATTAAAAACTTTCTTAGTTTATTCTTTTATCCGAAAATCTGCATTTTTTACAATGTTTTGACTGAAACACAAGTGGAACTTTGTTAAAATATTTTTTATATTGAAAAGAATGAAATGTGAAGTATGTTTAGCGTATGATTAAATTTAAGCACTACTATAGATTCAAAATCATGTTTAAAAACGAAATCTATTTACTATATCTATAATGCATTCATTTATAACATTGAAAAAAAAAAACAAAATTCTTCTTACAAATTGTTGACCATTAATCGATATGACTTTTGATATTAATTTAAATGTTCGTTCACATGCCACTGTTACTGGAGATTCCAATTGCACACTAATATATAAATTAATAATTTTTTTTATTAAATTAAAAAATTAAAATTTTTTACTATAAAAGATATCTTAATATATTACAACAATTAGAAAAAATAGCTGCATAATCAGTTGATGAAATAACATCACCAATTTCAGCTGTTAATGTTGTTTCAATATCAGTTACATCCGAACAAAGATAATCTAATAGAATAGAATAAATTTAAATAAATAAAAAGATATTCGACTTTTTATTACCATTTATTCCTGAATAAAGTTGATCAATAAGAAGAGAAGCTATTTTAAGATATCGATCATATTCATTTTTCCATGATTTAGCTTGTTTTGAAGTTGATGGTATTCCAAGTACAGATAAATGAGCAATACATTTGCAACAAATCTATTCAATAAAAATTTCTTTTTATTTGTTTTTTGAATGTTCAAATGAAATTTTTTCTACCTCGCTTGGACCAGACATTTTTTTATAGATAATACGAGGTAATAATGGACGAAATTTATTCTTCAAAAAAAAAAAAAAAAAAAAAAATAAGAAATTGTTAATTGATACATTTAATAAATTATATTATTACATACAATGAGAAATGGTGAAAATTTTTTTGGATAATGCAACATACATTCATAAAGACATGTTGCTGAAAGTAATGGTGCCTAAAACAAAAAATTTATATATGATTTTGGTAATTTTTCGTAATCCAAAATACTTTTGGTATTAACAAGAAGGATTTCTATAAGGATAGAATCTCTTATTACAGATTTTAAAATTTTCTCATAAGATCCAAGTATTTGAAAGATAATGTCTGGTGGGAAAAAAAATTAATTTATTCCTTCTTAATCTATTGCTAAAATTTTATTTGTAAGATAACATGGGAATATCTTGAAAAAAAGAATCGAAATCGAAAATTTCGGCAGTATCCTAAGTCATAATAGTCGGCCCTTAGAAAAGTTCTCTTTTTCCATAGATCATATGAAGGATCTTAAAATTCTAGGAAAATTACAATATTAAAAACTAAAAGGAATATGGTTATATTATATGAATTATCTAATATTGCAGATTGTTTTATTTGAGAAACATTTAAAAAAAAAATACAATAAAAATCGATATTTATCATATTCAATAAAATCAAAAGAATTTATTCAATACTTTTGTATTGTCTTAAAATTAAAAATATATGATAATTTCTTTTATATAATTTTAAACTGTCAAGTGAAACGAAAAGAAATCTACTCCTTTTTCTTATATATTAATTTTTACATCTATACTAGAAATCTACAATATTTTTCTTCAAATAACTCTAATTATTGTAATATAAATATACACTATCGAATAATATCTTTCAACTAACTGTTGTAAAATGATCAGCAGCAATAGTAATAATTTCTGAAATATAATCTTTTGATAAAAGTAATTCATCAATAATAGGACTTCGTTGAGATGCTTTAAGATATGTTAATAAACCACTTAAACCAATTTGTAACATTGTTCTTGATGTTGCATTCTAATTCGATGGAAAAAAAAAACAATGTTTTTGTTTTTATTATTATAATGAATAAAACAAAATTAAAAAAAAAATCTTTACAACAAGACACGAATAAAGAGCTTTAAGCCGAACTTCAGCTTCCATCTCCAATTGATAATCATCTGGATCATCTTCAAAAAATTGATGAAGTTCCACAAGTGTATTTCCTGTTGACCTAATAATACGACAAAAAATAAATTATGAATTAAAATTTGTTTTGAAAAATACAAACATTTTATTCTTTTCACTGTTCGTTTAATCAGCACCGGAAAAGAGCTGAGTGTATTAACATAGACGAAATGGAATGAACTAACAAAATCAAAATATTACACAGTTAGTTGGAGTTTGGTGACTCATCGAATCAATAGCGAAGGATTCCGTTGTGAGGGAGCCACAAGTTACAAAATTTTTTCGAAGATTCTTATTCTTATCATTCGAAGTTATAAAGAGGAATATATATTTTAGTAGAATGTTTTCCTTGTCCAACTTGTTTTTTTCTGAAATCATCTTTGATGGATGACGATAGAGATACAATAATGGCTGTTTTGAACCAATAGAAGTTTTCCAATCAAAATAGTTTACGCCTCTCTCGTCGTTTTGATAAGAGAGACGATTGACATGTTGCACGAATGAAACAATTTTTCATAAAAGAAGTGCTGTATATAATCACAGCGTACATGCCATATCGAACAAAAATCTTAAACTGTTCTTTAGAAATCACGTAGCGATTAACAATTGATAGTTGTTGTGCAATTCTATCGAGCGACATCACACGAACTATGTTCTGATGAGAACTTAAGGGTGAAGCATTTTTTAATTCAACTTAATTAGGTTAAGTATGAAGTAGTTGCATGAGGCAAATATTATTTAATTTCGAGTTTTTCTCTACTTCTGTGCGAATTGAGCATTGTGTTGTTCGAGTCATTTAGGAAAGAACCTTTGATAAGCTCGGACATGAATATGTTTTATGTTTATAAGAGTGCAAAAAACTCTGCTCAAACTCGACTGATTGAAATGAATAAGCTCCAAGTCAATTAGATTTCAGTAAGAGTTTTCTCTACTATTGTAAGAACGAAACATATTGTTGTTCAAATTAGGAGGGAGTTAGCAAGAATTCTCTCTTAAATGGACTTGATCAATACCATGCTAATCTAAACTGAAGTAGAGAAAATTATTTCGGTCACAATCAGCCCAATTGTTAAGCAATTGATACAAACTATGTATTTGTTCATGATTCTATTTCGTTGTTCATTTGTTATTCGTGAGTAGAATCTAGCATGTAAATTCTTTTTGTTTCTAGTTGGCATCCAGAAAATGCTTCTCAAATTCTGATCTTATTCGACGCAGTGTCCAATGAAAAAAAAAGAGTTCTTTTCTCTAGTTCTCTCAACAATTCCGTAGAAGTTTGTCTTTTATCAATATGTTCCATGTTTGATACTCAATATTTGGAAGTCACGTTAGTAAAAATCAAGAGTTATGCGTAAATTTTTATCTTCATTTACAAGTATTAACAGTATAACAACTGTTTTATAGAGAAAATTATAATACATCCCCAGATATTTATACTGTGAATACGTCAGATGGAATTGATGAATTTTAGCCTTGAAATGATTTTCTAACGCAACCAATAGTACGGCTAGTATCATTCCAAATGCAGTTCATAAGAGTTAGTGTTATCACAAGTGTATGCTCACTATTCTCTTTCATTCATCTGATTGTCTCTCATGGTATATTTCAATCTTGTCACTATTGTTTTGCATTGTCGGTAGGCTTTTTCTCTACTCTTCTTTGGACATTTTCATATCTAGGTGTGCTCATTAAACCATATATATATATATATATATAGCTGCTCTTTTTGTAATGTACGGGATAGCAAACAAATTTAGGTGAATAAATATAAACTCTGACTGATTTAACTTTATAAATAAAGTTCTATATACAACATCGTATTATGGATTAAACAGTTGAAAACAGGTGTATAGATTATTCCGATGTTAGTTTCTTACGAGGCATATACGACGACTTACGATAAACTTATTTTAGTCATAATTGTATCCCACATAATGAACGTAACAAATCGTTAGAGTATTTCGTTATTCTGCCTATACCACCTTTGCTCTGACCGTGTCCTATTAATGAAAAAAAAAACAAATATACAATTTTCTTTAATGAACAATCAATAAAAAGAAAAAAAAATTATTAAAATGAGTTTTGTTAATGAAGTTTTAAAAGCCAGCACATTCTACTTTCAGAAGTGAGGCCAATGTTACTGCAAAGATTTTTTTTCCAACAAAGTTGAAACCAGTCTTGATAGCTATATGTCTGTTTTCATCCTCAAGGTTTTCGATAATGACAACATGGTAAAGATTATGAGGTGTACATGAGAGAATAGATTTAAGGAACTGATTTTTATTGCTAGCAATGAAGGCTTAGAATTCTATCGTCTAGCGCTTGTTCTGCACATACTATCGCTACGATACCGATAACAAATTATTGGTGCATTACCAACAATCGTATCACATTGTGACTCATTCTAACACATTACATCATAGAAGTATCAAGGTCGGTCCAATGTACACTTATCGATACTTGTTATTCTCGACGAACAGAACGAACAGAAAAATTGCAATCAATATAAAAACATGTATGTCTCTACACATACATATGCACAAAGTGACGACGATGACAACGCTACGAAAGAAAAATATTTATTTCGTGCGACATGGTGAACGCATCGATTGGATCAATAAGACGTGGATGGAAACTGCTGAGCGTCGCACTGACCCTCCACTATCGAATTATGGTCTTCAGCAAGCACATGAACTTGGAGTATATGTTGCCAAACTACAACCACGAATAACTCACATCTATGTATCACCATTTTTGCGCACTATTCAAACAGCACTGCAAGTAGCCCATGAATTGAATAAGAATATTTCATCAACTGATGAAATTACAAAAATTCGATTGGAACCAGGATATGGCGAGTATTTCTTTCCCAACGTCGTCCCTGCATGGGATCAAAATACTATATATCGACCTTTGGATAAACTCTCTGAGATCTCGCAAAACATTGCATACTTCGATGAAGATTATGACAGTGTAATCAAAGCTGATTATTATTTGCAAATGAAAATAGAAACTCGTCAACAGTTACGAGACCGGTTGAGACGAGTTATACAGAGTACACTGGATGCTCATACAGACGACTGTAATATCTTAATTGTGACTCACGCAGCACCACTAATCGAAGGAGCCAGAGCATTAGCGATAATCGGTAGAGAACAAAACCAGAAAGTGATTAAGAAGGAAGAAGTTGAGACCACAATGAACCAAGAGAAGAGCGATATTGCTGCATGGGACATGCTTCCGATTCGAGCAGGTGTCTGCAGCTTGACTCATTTCGAATTAGTGGACGACAAATGGACTCTGTCGAAAAATGGACTCGCTTCTTTTTTATCGAAAGGTGAACAAAATGCTTGGATCTTCTCTGACGATGCATCATTGTATGAAACGCGACAGTAAATTGATGGTATGATCGATAAATATCTGTTAGAGTCGATTTCGGATATCTGTCAATCGATTTTGCTGAAGAAATAAAATAAGTCATTCTGACGCAGAATTTTGTGAAACGTATAATATTCCATTTAGAGATTTTTCATGATTCAATTGTTATAGCATTGCAGTATACTTTTGCAGTCGTAAAAAAAATTTAAACGAGTTTTTCTACGTAGTATTACGAGAGACAGACTAATATGTGCTATGGCAGAACAATTATCGTCTAGCGATGCACCATGATTGTAGTAAGTTGCACATTCGGTGATCAGAAAGTCGGTAAATATTAAAGTGACAGATGAGCAATTATTCAATGGTGGTCATCATTACGAGAAGTCAGCAAGTAAATGCATTTAATCACTAAAAGATTCGCTGATTGTTGTGAATGTGGGTGCGGGTTAATTAAATATCCACATTCTCAAGCTCTCATCTCGATAGTAAGATATCAGATCTATGAAATTAGCAAATAGAAAGATGAATGTCATTTATTTATGATCCTCTTCGTGTGAAAAAACACGTGTGAATCTAATTATCGTTCCGTATGAATGATCTCTTAAGGTAATTCTGATTTTCTCTGTCATACCAAACGACTTTCAAGTGTGTCATGTACGATATCATCAAACACTTTTATAAGCTTTTCAATCAACTCCGAATTTGTTTTGTGGAATATTTTGGTCAAGGAAGTGCTGATCTTGTTGCTCATCATGCATATTGAGACGTCTACTAATGTCGGATCTTTTTTAAAGTACTAACGACTATTTTTTGAATAACTTTTGATCACTTTAAGCTATCGAGCTGCGGTTTTCGCTGTTCCATAGAGTAAGATGGAGAACATCTATCTATATAAGTTTCATTGAGGTTCTGAATTATTATCATGATCTTATTGAGACTGGGGACTTTTTCGATGTCACATTCCTAAGATCTTCATGATAATTTCGAATCAAATTATCTCAGATTGTAGCCCATACATTGTTCTATATGGGGTATAATGTTCAGAATTTTCTATTGCATCCTTGAAGAATGAGACGTTCTATACTGAACTACTCAGAAATACCTTCATACAAGGAATAAATGTGTATCACTCATAGATATTCAACTTTTTACTGATGCAAAATTGATTAGTGACATTTTTCTTCTTTGAAAAGCTTGTCGAAAGATAGTCACGTATGTGTTGATCATAGTCTCCAGGTTCGGCAATAGTCAACCAAAGAGTGCATTCGCTTTCTTCTTGCAGTATTGGCCTACAAAAAAAATTCAATGCATTAATCAGGATGCACAGTTGTAGTGAAATATGATTTGCTATTGACTTGTTCGCAGCATCGCCCTGAACATTTCTGTTCATTACTGTCTATGCACGGATCAAGATAGCGATTAAGATGAATATCAAGAACAAGATCGAGATGAGCATGAAGATGACAATATTGAAAACATGGATGATACTTGACAAAAATCCTCATTCTTCAATTATGTTTTCTATTCTTGTCTATTTCATCGGCTTCTCTTAGTCCGATACTACAAGAAGAAAGCGAATGCACTCTTTGGTTGACTATTGCCGAACCTGGAGACCATGATGAACACATACGTGACTATCTTTCGACAAGTTTTTCAAAGAAGAAAAATGTCACTAGTCAATTTTACATCAGTAAAAAGTTGAATATCTATGAGTGATACACATTTATTCCGTATATGGAGGTATTTCTGAGTAGTTCAGTATAGAACGTCTCATTCTTCAAGGATGCAATAGAAAATTCTGTAAATTATACCTCATATAGAATAATGTATGGGCTACAATTTGAGATAATTCGATTTGAAATAATCATGAAGATCTTAGGAATGTGATATCGAAAAAGTCCCCAGTCCCGATAAGATTATGATGAAAAGTCACGACCCAATGAAACTTATATAGGTAGATGTTTCCCGTCTTACTCTATGGAACAGTGAAAACTGCAGCTCGATAACTCAAAGTGATCAAAAGTTATTCAAAAAATAGTCGTTAGTACATTTCAAAAAAAAATCTAGCATTAATTTCCTCTTTCAAATAGGAAAAAATTTTAGATTAAACTTGATCGTTAATGAAATTAAATACATTTATACAGTTATTATGGCTTACGGGACACTCTGCTAATTAGTTAGCTTATAAGTTTTGACTCGGTTTAATTTGAACTTTTTAAGAAATCAAATCGGTTCGGTTCGGTTCCAGAAAAACGCGAATCGATCCCATCTCTGATACATATACAATACTTAAAATATGTGTCACCTTTCGTAATTATCAGAATTGAAATAGACGAACCGCTGATGGTGAAATTACTTGATCCATTATACAATAGTCAATATGAGTAGGTTGATCTAATTTATCCTCCCAAATTTTTCAAAACTTTCTCTGTTCAGATACAATCTTTTTGCTGGCTCTAATAATACAGAAAGTCAAATCATCGCAATTATCAAGATAAACAATAGTATCTCTGTTCGATTTAATAATGTGCATCCTCAAAGATGTTTTCAGTATAATGGACTGTTAAAAGACATTTTTGCTATTAATGCTTTGCGAATTTAGGTAATATTCCAACCGGAGATCTGATACTTCTTCGATTTCATACGTACGTATAACTCTCTATCATGATTTAATACCCATCTAAACTATTCTTTATCTTATTGTTTATATTTTATGCTTCTCATTGTTATTATTTTGCATGCCTTGTTATACAAACTCATTGAGATTCTGCGCTTCTTTTTGTTTTGTTTTGCAATTTGATAATTTAAACATGGTTCTTTTCTATCAAAATCATCGTTTTATGCGAATACTTTTTTCTACTCTGCATGTACAAGAATATTTTCTCTATAATATACTTTTTCGCACTTACTTCACCCAAACTTTCGACTCTACTGCACATATAAGAAAAAAATACATGTCTCTAACAGCTGCTGTACATTATCATTGCATTCTGAAATCTTGACGAAAATTGAATATCCCGCTACACGAAATTTGATATTAATCTCATCCTATACAGAGGCATTAAATGCATCAATAATAAACCGAAAACTTCAACTAAATTTGAAAGTTACATGCAGTAAATTCCATATCACGAATTTTGTATATTGTAATGTTGCTCTCATGATTAATGAGTGGAATTATTCAACTGGATTATACGAACAAGCGGATTTTATCAGATTCAAAACTCTTACAAGAGGTTAATACCTTGTAGATACATTGAATTTCGACATTTAGTAACTTGAAATATAGTTTAAGATACAAAGAATTGTTCTACTTGAGGTAGCAACAGTAACGTAACCTCATCAACACATTCTTTGTCCGATAATACCTATTGAAATTGGTACCATTCGATAGAGAATAGAATTTTGTATTTAACAGAACCAATCAGTGATACAACACAAGTTTGGAAACAAATCCAGACAAGAAAAGGTCGAATATGGTGTTAAGTTTACTTATGTGGTTGAATGTCTGTAAATACATCATATTCCTTGTTGACAGATTCAACTGAAGATTTT